ATATATATATATATATATATATATATATATATATATATATATATATATATATATATATATATATATATATATATATATATATATATATATATATATATATATATATATATATATATATATATATATATATATATATATATATATATATATATATATATATATATATATATATATATATATATATATATATATATATATATATATATATATATATATATATATATATATATATATATATATATATATATATATATATATATATATATATATATATATATATATATATATATATATATATATATATATATATATATATATATATATATATATATAATATATATATATATATATATATATATATATATATATATATATATATATATATATATATATATATATATATATATATATATATATATAAATATATATATATATATATATATATTGCCACGTCTCTTTTCCACTGAAGGTGGAGGGGAGACCGAAGCAATCCTACTATACTTTGCTCACTTTGCTACCGATTGGAAGCAGTAAGTATAGGGCCCAAGCTGCTCAGTTTCTCAAAATATGGGCGGGGTATAAAAAAGAAAGTAAATAAATCAAAGGTTGGAAACCGGGGCGCCAGCTAGGACAAAACCCCAACCTATACTGTAAGTTAGTGATAGTGACTAGTGTCCTTGCTCACTAGCCACCCAACAAACTCACAAAGTTAACAAAGTTCGAACCCAAATAACCAAAAACCAAATAAATAATTAATAAATAAACCGGCACGTCAGTTTAAATCTCCATATATTGGCTCAAGTACACACTAAGCACAGGAAGCTTGGTTACGATCGATCGTTTACAAATAACTCTTACAAACAAATGTTTCTATAATTGGGTACTTTATCTTTACCTTAACTGAGCTCTTTAATTTATATTGATATTTAAAAATTGAAATTTGTATTTAATAGGAATAAAATTAACCGAAACGTAAATAGAGGCTTATCTGTGATCCTCCAGTTACCAGCAACGAACGAGTCGGGCAAGCTCTAAGATGGCTGTCCTGTATACTGCCTACGGGTTCACCAGTCAGTGGGATAGGCACGAATGCTTATCACTCTTGGACGAGGAGATATGCACTGCAACGTCCTGAACCGAGCAAACTTGAAGACTTGAAGAATTCTTGGGTTGCAGAATTCATAACACGTGCCGTCCACGATGTAAGGAGGCACCAAATCCAATTGAACTGGAACTGGGGAAGCCAGTACCAAATGGGAAGCCAAAACCAGTCCAACAATCAAAAACTGGTTCCAAAAGGAAGACCAAATCCAAAACCAAAAACCAGAACCAAAAAACCGCCTGATGATCGTGGGTGGCGGTGAAGAGTGCCAGGTGCTACGTTGGTTAGCTTTAATCCAGCCTAAGCTGTAATGTTGGGGACGTCCAAGTAAAATACTACCAACAAGACGACGATCCGGAACTTCTATACGATTTCAATCCGGTTTAATCCTCGAAAACTACGAGATGCCACAAACTTATTCGGATTGAAATCTTGCAACCACTTGCACCGGCGGAAATCGTAGAGCCAAAGAAAGAAAGACCGATGAAGTTTTACAAAGTTCCAATTCAATTCAATTCAATGATGCGTTTCACAGATAGCTGTTGGGCACGACTACCAGGATCATTCGCCCATTGCCGACTTCCGTCGAGGATTCTCGGATCTTCTCCAGGAAGGAGACAGAATTTTGAAGTTCTAAATGTCGAGGATTTTCGTATCTTCTCTGGCGAAGAAGACTGATTTTTGAAGTTCCAAATGTCGAGGATTGTCAGATCTTCTCCAGCGAAGGAGACTAAACTTTAAAGTTCCAAATGTCGAGGATTTTCGGATCTTCTCCAGCGAAGGAGACTAATCTCAGAAGTTCTAAATGTCGAGTTTTCGGATCTTCTCCAGCGAAGGAGTTCTTCTTTTGAAATTCTAACTAATATACATGATGATTAAAACCAACCCATAGACCATGAGCTAGCAAATCCAAAAGCGGTTATAAGCAGATACCACATGCATCAAGCAATCTAACCACAGGTCGTGCAACAGAATCCATACATCCAGGGTGAAAAAGTGCAGAAAAGGCACTAATAGGAGCGGGTAAGCTGGCATCAATGAGGGACTCATACAAAATTTGGGAGTTATTCCGATGCAGAGCACAATCTAGTCTAGCTTCTGAGGCTATTCTATCCACCGTTTCATTATGTCTTATCCCCGAATGGCTTGGAATCCAGCATAACGATATTTTCCCCCCAAGTCTGCGCTTCAAAATATCAATCTTTGCTTTAATATCTAGTAGAATGTAGCTGTTGGAAGCTTCAAACGCACTGCATCCGAAGCTCTGCAGGGCACTTTTGGAATCGCAGACAGTTACTGCCTGTTTAATATTATAATCTAATATAAGATCTAGGGCGTAACTAATAGCTACCATTTCTGCAGAGCAAATACAAAACGCGCTATTCAACCCATGCCCGACCCTAACATTGAGAGACGGAATAAATACTCCAGGGCCAACTCTATCATCTGGTCCCTTAGAGGCATCAGTAAATATAAATGTCTCTTCCCGTGGGAGTAAAAAAGATTCATTAATCATGACTATATCCGGACCAAAGTCACGAATAAGTCTAATAATACTATCCTGATTACTTCTAATACCGCAAGTGTTCCAGTGAATAATTGGGAAATTACTAATTTTAACAGAAAGAATTGACTGTCGATCTGGGAACATTAATAAATTAAAACCTGCATCCTCCGGGAGGAGGCAGGGAGTCAAAAAGACTCTCAATTTCATGGTAAGCACTTTTACTGGGTATATTGGACAAAACTTTTTTCTTTAAATTTTCAAACCGATACCAAAATTCACCAGAGGAAGAAACCCCTGGAGAAGCAGTGTCCATCTCGGACTCTGACGATAAGTCATTTAAATATGAGGGAGAAGATTGACTTTTGCTAGTGTGATTCAACTTCTGCCTAGTCAACGGCGGCACGAGACAATCCCTGTGGGCGTCCCTATCATACCCTGATTCTATTTGGGGGGACTTACGCTTTTTTGCTATGACAGAATAAGTTTTAGAAGCAGATCTAGGGGAAGGCTGAGAGACGGGGGCAACCGTGTTATGAATAGGAGGGAAATTTTCATTAGAGCGATTAAACTCACTTGATTTGGGGCCTCTTGGAAAGAGTTTGGCCGCTTCAAAAAAGGATAAGTTGTACCATGCCATAGCCTCATTGATTTTCTTCTGTCTGTCCATTTCTGGACATGATCTATCAGTGGCCTGATGAGAGCCTTTACAGTGGATGCAAGTTGGCTTTGGAGATATTTCGCAATTACCCAGGCTGCATTTACCTTCATGATTTAAGTGGTCTGTCGGGCATGGTTTCGTCTTATAAAACTGTTCTTTCAGTTCACAATGAAATACTGGATGATCTCCAGCGCAGAAACTACATCTACCCTTGCTTTTACATTGGTTTTTCCAATGACCAAACCTGCAACAATTCATACATAAGACAACAGGACTAACATATTTTTCGATTGAACACTCATTTTTATAGATACAGATTGATTCTGGAAGAGTTTTACCCTCAAATGTTATTATATAATCATTAGATGGAACTGTCTTGAAACCAAAAGTGCCAGGCAGAACACCTGGGCATTTGACCCTTTTAGTTAGTCTGCGAACATTAACAATCTTAACGCGCTTTAGCGATCTTCCGATATTAACCTTGGCTTCTGCCTCAGAGTAAAAATCATCCTCATCAATTAAGTTACCAATGTCCCTCACCAACCCTCGGCAAGTGACTAGTCTTTGAGGTATATACTTATTATACCCACCAGCTGTCAAATATGATTCATTAGATAAAAATTTATTTGCAGACTCAGAGGTGTTAAACTCCAAACCGATTTTATTGGCTCCTTTTCTAGAAATTTTCAATATACCTTGAACTCTCTGCACTTGAACTAACTTCCCAAAGTTCATAGGATGAAGAGTCCCCACCTTACTTGTAATCCCCTCCAGAATCACCATAAAAGGCCCCTGATCGGTGATTTCATATTTTGTTTTCCGATTTACTGTCCTTCTTATGTTTGCGGAGATTTTGGCAACTTCCCGCAGGATTTCAGCGTCTTGCTCGAACTGATTCTTGATAATCTGGATCTCTGCCGATAACTTTGACAACTCTTCCCTGAGGGCACATCAAAATACTGGAGCCTGGAAATATCTTCAGCAGTTTTTTTGCAATCCGGTGGCAAAATGTTACAAATAATGCCGTTCAACGGACGATTTTGAGAATCATTGGATAAACTGTCATTTTCTTGTGCTGCACTAACCGTCGGGGGGCCCTCGCCCCCCGAAGAGTCCCCCATGGTTAAGGTTAGAGGGCCAAGAGGAGGAAACTACCAGCCACAAAAACTGATATATAACTGGATGCGTTAAATGGACTCACCAAATAACAGAAAACAATAAAAATTAGGGCCGATGCCTAAAGATTTGCACAACAATACTCAGGTAGTCTTCACTCCTTCGCTGTTGTACCGAAAAAGCTACAAAGTTCCAAAAAAAGAGAACGATGGTGCTGGCAATACGATGTTCGGTTCCGACACCACTAGGGTCAATGGGCCAATAATGACAGAATTTAATCAACGCAAGGAGACTAAATATTACCTAACTACTACCCGCTATTACCAATAATAATCAATTATTACACACACATGAATGAGATTACACAGTAACGTCTTAGGAAATTGAAGACGAACGTGTGCCAAAGATCGAGTGCTTAACTATACTAAGGGCAAAGTACATTCGCGTTGACAGAGGATTGAAATATAACCTCTCCAAAAAGCAACAAGTGTAAATAAATGAAAGCAAGGGACAAGAATAGAAATTGTCGTTAGTTCGGAAATAAGAAGGAATACAGGACGATCGTCTCGTGCAATCCAACCGCATTCCGCAGTAACATCTTAAATTGCAGCAAAAATGCAAGGACTTACACTTATTTACATTTATTTTAGGACATGCAAACCACACCAAGCAATTAAACAGTTACCGTGTGTTCGAACAGAATGAAGTAGCAATACCAGTAGTTTTGAGGATTAAGACAGTGTAATTGTGAGAATAAAACATTTAATAGGTAGTCTCCGAGCATTATTAACCTACATGTGAGAAACATAAGTCGAATTAGCCAATGACAAATTGAACCCGTTACACTCCCCCTCTTCTTCGGAAGGAGGTTTAATTTCATAGAAAAGTAAACCGACGACAACCGTAAAGCCAACCAGGCCAAACTAGGACGCAAAACTCAAAACCAGATGTGAACAATGACTCCGCAAGAATCACCAAAACAAAAAACCCGAAATAAAAAAAAACGACTTTGAAGATTCTCCAATGAAGCGGAACCCGCATGAATCCGACCAGTCCAATGAGACATCTGGGCACACCCAGAAGGGAGCAACATCCAAAGAGTAAAATGACTTACAACTCTTGATGAAAAATGGATGTTAGCAAGCATTGCGTTACCACCAACCAAGACGGGGGAACCTCGTTTACTGGCCCCCTACAGACTGTAACCAAATGGAGCATCAAACCCGCCAAAATCCACCGGCACTCGTACCAATTGAATATGCTCAAAGGGCGGAAAACCAAAGAAAATCCCAACCCCGTTAAAGGAAAATCTGAAGAAAGAAAAAAAAACAAGTAACCCGCTCTGCGATTTGGGGCGAAGTTGGGTTTTCCTACACAGCAAAAACAAGCCCATAAACCTTTGACTCATTGACTGTGTTAGACAAAGTATCTCTAAATCTTCTAAAAGAAGAGATAGCCAACTCAGAACACAACAAAAAAGAAACCAAGACTCAAGCAAAAGTTGAAATACACTATGGACAATTGTTTTCTAAAGAAAAACAAGAATTGCCTTACAACAAATGGAAACCTTGATTTCACCATTCGTGATGAGAGTGAACAACAGATATTCTGAGGTTTCGAACAACTTGAGCAGCTTTGTAACTTTTTAGAAAGATCCAATGTAAATCCCTCACTACTTACATGTTGGAATCAAGGAACCTTGATAAACTGCTATAACTGCATTGCAAAGGAAACTCTTCAGACCTTATTAAAGAAATCTAAAATTGCTGAAATGGTTTCAGACAATGAGATAGAACCAGCAGGTCAACCACCTAATGCTGACATCATCATCATCGTACTAATGTTAATATCCATTGTATTTGCTTTTATTTACATCAACCTTCTTAGGACTGGCAAAACAAAATATCCTTATATTCCTACAATAATACTTTTTGTCCTGCCTTTGATAATACTCACAGATATTGTAGTAAAATTGCTAAAAGTGTGAAACTAATACTGCAGTTAAATAGGTTCATTAATATAGATTTTATTATAATAATATTTAATTATAGTTTCTTTTATAAGAATTGCATTTTCAAAAACCATTGTTAGTTGTATTGTGTTGTTTTAAGGATAAAAGAAAAAAAAATGAAAATCCCAAAATTAAATACAGCAAATGCAAACTCAATAAGTTCTACGACAAATTCGAACCCATCCCCCTTAAAAAAAAAAAGAAAATGTGTCAATGGCAATACACCAATAGGGAGCAATGAAGAAAAAAAAAACAAAAACAAAATAAATAATTAGTGCTAAGTATTCAAGATCTCCAATAACTAATATTCAAAATTACTCGCTGGCAAAAATATGTGAGTGACCCCGCATTGATTGAAAATTCAAAAATATAGCCAAGTATTTTTTTGCAGTTCGAACCAATATACAAATCCAAACTGACGGCCTATTAACTTAAAACTCAATAAACTATAAAAAATTGACAGAAATATTTAAAAAGCTATAAAAACAACGAACCTAAAAAATAATACTATATATAATAATTTTACACGTTGGGTGCTAAAAAATTCCCAGAAAATTTACACATTGGGCGTTAAAAAAAAAAATTACACGTTGGGCGCCAGAAAAATTGACACGTCTCTTTTCCACTGAAGGTGGAGGGGAGACCGAAGCAATCCTACTATACTTTGCTCACTTTGCTACCGATTGGAAGCAGTAAGTATAGGGTCCAAGCAGCTCAGTTTCTCAAAATATGGGCGGGGTATAAAAAAGAAAGTAAATAAATCAAAGGTTGGAAACCGGGACGCCATCTAGGACAAAACCCCAACCTATACTATAAGTTACTGATAGTGACTAGTGTCATTGCTCACTAGCCACCCAACAAACTCACAAAGTTAACAAAGTTTGAATCCAAATAACCAAAAACCAAATTAATAATTAATAAATAAACCGGCACGTCAGTTTAAATCTCTATATATTGGCTCAAGTACACACTAAGCACAGGAAGCTTGGTTACGATCGATCGTTTACAAATAACTCTTACAAACAAATGTTTCTATAATTGGGTACTTTATCTTTACCTTAACTGAGCTCTTTAATTTATATTGATATTTAAAAATTGAAATTTGTATTTAATAGGAATAAAATTAACCGAAACGTAAATAGAGGCTTATCTGTGATCCTCCAGTTACCAGCAACGAACGAGTCGGGCAAGCTCTAAGATGGTTGTCCTGTATACTGCCTACCGGTTCACCAGTCAGTGGGATAGGCACGAATGCTTATCACTCTTGGACGAGGAGATATGCACTGCAACATCCTGAACCGAGCTAACTTGAAGATTTGAAGAATTCTTGGGTTGCAGAATTCATAACACGTGCCGTCCACGATGTAAGGAGGCACCAAATCCAATTGAACCGGAACTGGGGAAGCCAGTACCAAATGGGAAGCCAAAACCAGTCCAACAATCAAAAACTGGTTCCAAAAGGAAAACCAAATCCAAAACCAAAATCAAAACCAAAAACCAGAACCAAAAAACCGCCTGACGATCGTGGGTGGCGGTGAAGAGTGCCAGGTGCTACGTTGGTTAGCTTTAATCCAGCCTAAGCTGTAATGTTGGGGACGTCCAAGTAAAATACTACCAACAAGACGACGATCCGCAACTTCTATACGATTTCAATCCGGTTTAATCCTCGAAAACTACGAGATGCCATAAACTTATTCGGATTGAAATCTTGCCACCACTTGCACCGGCGGAAATCGTACAGCCAAAGAAAAAAAGACCGATGAAGTTTTACAAAGTTCCAAAAAAAGAGACCGATGGTGCTGGAAATACGATGTTCGGTTCCGACACCACTAGGGTTAATGGCCCAATAATGACAGAATTTAATCAACGCAAGGAGACTAAATATTACCTAACTACTACCCGCTATTACCAATAATAATCAATTATTACACGCACATGAATGAGATTACACAGTAACGTCTTAGGAAATTGAAGACGAACGTGTGCCAAAGGTCGAGTGCTTAACTGTACTAATGGCCGAGTGCATTCTCGTTGACAGAGGATTGAAATATAACCTCTCCAAAGTTTTTTTTTTTTCGGTCAACCAGGTGAAGTGGTGTGCACAATTTTACCTCGGTCCGAGAAAATTTTCATTTTTTTGACGTAATTCTAGTCTTCAACTGAATTTTTCGGTCTGGGTGAGTTTTATATTTAGTCAGCCGTTAATATTTGCTTTGGTTTGGTGTCGCAGTTCGCAATAATTTAGCGCTTTTCATATCATGGCATGTGCTTCGGGGGGTAAAGACCCCCCTGATAGAAACGATCGTATCGTAGTTAATAATCCGATAGTGTTTGCAAATGATTTTGATTCCTTTCAAGCTCAACTAAACTTGTCCCAAGCTTCTACCTCCTCTAGCAGTGGTTATTCATCAGCCTTGACGCTTTCGCCTTTAGCTAAGAAAACAGCACATGCTATCGCTCAGCATCAATACTTCTTAGTACCCACTAAGGAGGAAATAGATTTATTGGAGACAGAGTTACAAAAGCTTAAATCTGTCTTCGTGGAAGATCAGGATGCCCTAAACGAAATTGCAAGAATTTCAGTCAACATAAGGAGAACACTTAACCGAAAGTATAAGTATGAACTTACAGACCAGGGACCATTTCTTATCATAATGGAGGGAATAACTTCTCAAGTTGGAAACATTCACCCGATGAATATTGGAAAAATTTTGCACAGAGCTGGAGTACAAGGTATAACAAAAATCAATAGAAAAGGGGCTAATAAAATTGGAATTGAATTCAGAACATCAGAGTATGCTAATCAGTTTTTGTCAAATGAAAGTTTCAGTTCTGCTAGAGGCTATAATAGGTACATTCCACAACGTCTTGTCACTTGTAGAGGACTAATCAAGGATGTAGGGGACCAAATTACGGAAGAGGATTTTTACTCAGAAGCGGTAGCTTATACAGGAGAAGGATCCCGGGCCAGGTTGATTAAGATATTAAATGTAAAAAGAGTCTTAAGAAGGAAGAAAATACTTGCTATTTCTGGTGAAACAGTAATGAAAACCATCCCCACAAACGATTATATTGTAACATTTGAAGGCAAATCATTACCCCAAACTGTAAATATTTTTAATAATGAAAGAGAAGTGGAAAAATATGTTAACCCGGTTATAATGTGCGTC